TCACAAAGTTATTTAATAAGTTCGCATTTGATTATGAGCTATTGCTTCATACAACACATTCAAGTATATTCTACGACGATATGAAGCAATTAATTGATGTACATAAAAAACAACGCTTACATCAGCAATGGCAAACATAAAGTGAACAAGAAGCGTGTGGGCACGTAGAGGCACAAGGCACGTGTTTGTGTTTCACGTTGGGATAATAAAATACGTAACTACTTTTCTTCGTTATTGAGTTCAGTTAATACAACAGCAGTCAAAAAGAAAGAACCCAATGGCAAAAAAGGAATACTACCATGGTCATACCTTACCTTCTTTTCTTTCCTATTTTTGGTATCGTTCTTGTTGAATTGGCGTAGAGGATTGTCCCAAAGCCAGAAGCACCACATACTTTCTCTGAAGTTCAGCAACAGGCCACAAAAAGGATTAATTAATTGATTGTTTTCACGTGAACTTCTAGGGCCATTAGTCCCATTAGCGTAGTAAATGTTTTTGTTCCTGGTGGTGTTCCTCCCCAGCTTCATGGTGAGAATCGACGTCGCCTAGCAAGGGATATTCCCATCCAAGTATATCCCCAAGCGGAGCACCATTTTATCCGGGACGTGCTAGAAGTTCCCGACATGTGTAGTAGTGTAGTGTATGTAACTATTACGTTCGTGCTCCGGCACGCATGTGGTAAAGACGGCATTCACCTCTTGATCGAAAATACACGGAAAACTACTGATTAGAGCACGGGCCCGTTATAATTCTCCCATCAGCGGCAGACTTCGACGTAACTATCTACTTAGTATCGAAAATCAGCCACAGTCGGGACTCGAACCCTAGGTCCTTCCGCACGGCGTATCGGAGGCTACACTCAACCGGCCCATAGAGGAAATGTTTGGATGAATGTCTCATTCACGATAATTAAGAACACTTTCAAAATTGTAAATGACTCGGGACCGGGTTGCGCTGCGCAGGTGGGAGGTGGACGGCGCGCCGCTGGCCGGCGACGAGCAGCGCTACGCCGTGGGCGGGCTGCTGGTGCTGCCGCGGGCGCGCCCCGCCCACTCGGCCCGCTACACGTGCGAGGCCAGCAACGCGGCGGGCAGCGCGCGCCTGGAGCTGAGCCTGCTGGTGAGCGCGCCGCTGGGGGCGCGCGTGCAGCCGCCGCTGCTCACCGCCGCCCTGGGCCAGCCCGCCACCTTCTCGTGCGCCGCCGCGGGCCACCCCGTCGCCGCGCTGCACTGGCTCAAGGACGGCCAGCCCGTGCGGCCGACGGGCGCGGCGCACGTGCTCACGCTGCCGGCCGTGTCCAAGGACGACCAGGGCATGTACCAGTGCTTCGTCAAGAACGAGCACGACATGGCACAGGGCACCGCCGAGCTGCGCCTCGGAGGTACGAAATATTGGCGTTGACAGTATGTATTTGACTAAATTTATGGCGCTATATTATAGCCACAATGCACTAATGGTTTTGTATGTTGTTTCAGACACGCCTCCTATTTTGGTGTATTCCTTTATTAGACAAACCATTCAACCTGGACCTTCTGTTTCCCTAAAATGCGTTGCGTCAGGCAGCCCTACGCCACAGATTAAGTGGACACTCGACGGATTCAAATTACCACAGACTGATAGGTAAACGATTGTATAAAATTCCATATTGCGTATGCATCTTTATTTCGATTTTCAGATTAAAATATCCTTGACTATATTAATATTTAACATACACAACAATAAATCACAACGAGGAGCTAAAGAATAACTTATTACAATACCTGTTATTGATTCGTTTCAGATTTGTAATTGGTCAATACGTGCCCATGAATGGAGATGTGGTTAGTCACGTGAACATCACAAATGTAAGAGCGGAAGATGGAGGAACGTACCAGTGTACAGCGACAAATCGCGTTGGTGAAGTTACGCACAGTGCACAGCTTAATGTTTATGGTATGTGTATGAAACAAAGGCTGCTATTGTGTCAAAAAAAAGAATCCCAACTAATGCGCGATTTTCCGCTTGCTATACGAAGAATGTTAACAAAGTTTACTTTCGAATTTAATTACTCTTTTTTATCGTACATTGTATATTTCAATCTCGTTAACAAATACATAAATTCATAAAATCCACAATTATTTTACAACTTCCAAAGCACAATGGCTATTATTATTGTAATCATTAATCACATCAATTACATTAAACATGTTGGTAGACGACTTCCACAATATATATTGAAAGTACTCCGCTGACGCTCTTCCACCATCCAGAAATGTAACTTGTCTAGAGCAAATCTAATAGGATTATATTTATTTTTCAATTTTGTTTATGTTTAGTATTTAGTTTTCTTATTGTTTGGACACACAAATGTTGCTACATATTCTACACTAAATAATATCATTATGTTTAATGGTTTTTGAAATTAATATTGCTACAAGATACTCCATTACCAAGTTATTCGTTTTCGGAATATATTAAGTCCTTCACCTATCAGTATCTCCAACAATTTAATTTATACCTTCTGAATTTTGTGTTCACAGGTCTGCCATATGTTCGCCCGATGGGTGAAATTTCCGCAGTTGCAGGAACTACATTATATATAACATGCCCTGTTGCTGGATATCCAATAGATACAATAAAATGGTTTAGAGGTATGTAAATGATGAATGACACTATATTTTAAAACAGATCCAATAATATGATAATCTGCTATCTAACGCTTTTTGCAGTTGGTCCTGGTGGCGATAGACCTCTTCCATACATTACTCGACAAACAGTATTCCCCAATGGCACGCTAGCGATTCAGAAAGTTCAGTCTAGAGAGGACAACGGTTTGTATCGTTGCTCAGCGGCTAATAAGCAAGGAGACCGCTCAAGCGGAACTGCTCAAGTCAATGTAACTGGTAAGTTCGTCCTAAGATCGAGCCTCTGGCCAAATGAATAAATGGCAGCGACTGACTGCGACGTGACAAGACAAACGACAAACAACTTAACGGAGAATTACTCCAATCTACATAAGCTGAATACCCAAAAAGGCCCAAGAGACGTATTGTGTAAAAGATGCTACAAACTAAAAAGAAATGAAACTGCAGAGTAGTTCATCACTTAACAATTTCAAGTTCAATGTGTTGATACGCTAAGAATGAGTAAATATATAAAGTTTGTAAACTAATTCAATTGATTGTCACAAATTAAGAGGAACGTCAAGTACTTCTGGAAAGCTAGTTCAGTTGAAATACAGAAAATATTGAACTATCTATGTATAAATACCGTGTAGATAGTTTCGGAGATGGTAATCTTCACATTGGTAGTGTACTAAATTTAACCCATTCCGTTTATTAAGTTTCTTACATAGAAATTGACCACAAACGCAAAATATTCCTTTAAAAAATAAAAAAAAAACATATCTAATAAGCATGGAAATCGTTGGTATTGGGCAATGGATTCGTTTTGCTTCCTGCATTGCATATTTATTTTGAAGAACAAAAAATTACACTTTTTGTACCTTACGAGACAACGAAAATTATGTTCACCTCGAAAGGTTTTATGAAAAAATTGGTAATATCATTTTAGATTTTTTATATTCTTTTAATGTAAAAATTATTTTAAGCTCAAAAATTTAACTAAAATTGACTTCAAAAACAAAAACTTAACTAATAGAAGGAAATTAAGTGTACATACTTTTGTTTAATTTTAAAAATGGAAAGACTTGAACACAATAAATTGATAGTGTATGGACGACACGGGATCAAAATGTAATTTTTTTTTTTTTGGAAATAATCATAAGCAGTGAACATATCAGAACAATGAGGTAATATTTCTTAGAAAGTCTTCTTCAGAAAGAAACAGAATTAAAAATTTGCCGAGTACATATTAAAGTAAGTTACCATGTAACCAATACATTGGTTTTGCGTAATAATTTATTTTCGAGGAGGTGTTAAGGCAAATAATATTGGTTAATTAACGTTTGCAATTACAAGCAGATATTCTAGTGCGCGTAAAAATTGCCTGCTTATCATCTCGCCAAGCGATCTTCAAGTACATACATTATTGTAAAAGAGTTAACAAGATAAAATTACTAGAATATGAACATAAAATGTTATTATGTCTTAAAAGTTTCTTGTCCTTTTAAATTATATATATATATATATATATATATATATATATATATAATTTACATATACATATATTAAAATCGTGAATACCGATGAACAAACGTTTTAGCACTTTCATTTGTATTTAAAAACGGATTTCAATTGAAAAATGCTTTGTGTTAAAGCAAGTCCAAATAAATAAATACATAATGTTTTTTTTATAATACATTTAAGGAGCAAGGGAAGTATATTATACATATTAAGAATTTGTACAAAGTTGTCAAATTTTGTATTTAATGTTAATGTTACTGTCATTATTTACAGTGATTAACATTCATTACTATGGTTTTGAATTATTTTTTTTGAATATGAAAAAGAAAGAAAATTATAAATTGATCGTTGATTACACCATAAAGTGGACAGCATTTTTTAATTAAGAATGAAAATTGCCATCTCCAGTTGAATGAAATTATTACATTAGCTCGTCTGAGTAAAATTTCACATTACTAAATTATGGTTCATTGAGTTTTATTTCTTACGTGCAAGGCAATAATCATAAAATATGTATTCAGATTGTCTCAGAATAAATGTGACGGACTTCTATGACATTTAGGGGATCCGAAAATGACCATATTTTGTGAATGAAATTGCAGTGGAAATTTTAGATAAGGAAGTTATACATGTGACAATTCCCCCTCATTTTTTGACATCTTATGTAGGTGTTCCGCAAGTCACGGTCCGAAGCAGTCAAAGAGATTTCATGTATCTTCCGAAGATTTGTACATTCGGGAATGCCTGACATTCAGGGTCAATTGTCACAAATGTAAATGCCTTTTTATGCAATTTACCACTGGTGTCATGGTCCAAAAGTGATTATTTTCGACTCTTCTACATGCCCTAAAAGTTTATAACATTTATTTTGACACATCCTGCACTTGTTAAAGACGGTTATTGCTTCCTCTTATATAAAAAAATCCTCAATTTCAGAAACCACTCACGACCATTTGAATAACGCGCAACACAGGTGCAATGGTGTGTTTCATGTAACATGGCATGTGCTTTGTTCCAGTCCCCCCTAAGATAACCCCTTTCAGCTTCCGTTCCGACCTTCACCTGGGGGACCGGGTAGGGGTTCAGTGCGTGGTGAGCAGAGGGGACCCTCCCCTCAGCATCCACTGGCTCAAAGACGGCCAGAAGCTAAGCTCTAACGAGCGTGACGACGACGTAGTGTTGCGCAAACTCGACCAGTTCACGAGCGTGCTGAGCATCAGCCCGCTGTCTCGCCGCCACGGGGGCAACTACACGTGCATTGCTCGCAATGACGCCGCGCAGGCCACGCATTCGGCGACGCTCTCCGTGAACGGTATGCTCGCAGTCGCTCCGAACGCCCTCTTCAAGGAGGCGGCCGTGATGTCTGGCAATCCTCCACCTTGTATTGTATGTTTGCTCGCTGAAGAACCTGAGAGAAATTTGCGTTTCATTTTGTCCGTTTTTTTGCAAGTTCAGACTGTTTGGTCTAATTATTGTTACTTGGGATTCTTGTTTAAAATCTGCGTGTGTAAATGTAATTGTTTCGAAGTGTTGGACGTCATCTTGATCGTGGATTTGTCCAGTTTCAAAACTTTCTTGCCAGCGAAAGCCAACATTAATTCTCATTTGCTTATGGACAAGAAAAGTAGATTTTCTGTATCACGTGCTGTGTGAAGTGCTTATTTACTTAAACTATTATTATTACTATTATTATTATTATTATTATTATTATTATTATTATTATTATTATTATTATTATTATTATTACTCTAACGAGTATTGATTCACAAATCGTTGGCGTGTACAGCTCGAGTTTTCTGTATTGGACTAGATATTGACTTCCTTATTCATCACAAGGAATCGTATATTCATCATTTCAAGGAACGAAATCATCAATAATTTTGTTCAGTCAATACGATCAAATGAGACAATATATTTTGATAGATACGCGTTTATGTAAAACATATATTTAAATGCACATTGTTTGAATTTGTTTATTTGATGTTTGCATACTTTACTGTGAATTCAGGTCGTATCCCAATTTAATTAGCGAATGTTGTACAAATATGATCACTTGCTAGCGACTATTTTGAGCGCGTTTCAACATCGCACAACCAATATCACCCCAAATAATTAAGGTCTCTATCCTGAATGTAAGGATGAAATTCATCCTCATTCACACCACGTGCGACTATTTTTTGGATATAGCATTTGGATATTCTCGTATAAATCGGTTGTGATACCGCATTGCTAAACAAGTCTTTAGGTAAATATTTTCGATAGATTATTATTTACAACCAATTATAAAATATGAATTATATCCCTCACTCCTGTTCTTAAACACGACTAACTCCGTCGTGTTCACGTTAACTTTTGTTCTGAAATCTTATTAATACTCTTGTTTCTTAAGAGTTTTGCAACACAAGAACTTCTGCAAAATTACATTACCTGTCATTGTTCTCATAAACGAACTGAGCGATGGTGAGTTCAGAAAAAAACATTTTTCAAACTTTCTACGACCTTCTAAACTTGACAAGTTTAAAATTTACTTGCACTTTTTATAAACGTGTATACTACCCCAAGTTTGCCTTTTTATTTTCATTAATTTGTTCAGTTTTCAAAATGGCGAAATTATTCCAAACTTGCAAATGCATCTCAATTTCTTCAGTGAATCCGGATTGTCACACAGTCGACGTGTTCCTTGAGAGGAGAGTATCGTAGACTTGTGTCTTGGCTTGAGTGTGTGTGCGTGTGTGTGTTTCAGTGCCTCCAGCCATAACGCCATTCGCGTTTGGTGAGCTATCATCCGGTGAACGCGTGCGGGTGACGTGCAGCGTCAAGCGCGGCGATCCGCCACTCACCATCCGTGTGGCTCAGGGACGCCCGCCCATCCCGCCGCACCCGAGCTCCCGCATGGATGCCCTCGACTGATGATCCAAGCCACCGAAGAGTACTCTAGTGTCCTGGCGATCCGTAGCGTTAGCTCTAGGCATAGCGGAAACTACACGTGTTTGGCTACAAACAAGGCTCGGACGGCGACGTACACCGCTCAGCTGTTGGTTACGGGTAACTAGCACGCAGGTAGTGTGACCTCTCATATGGCACTTCGCACTACTCCACAACTGCGACTGGGACGAAGCATGTTGCACTCGTTGCTGCAGTCCTTTTGTACTCTTCAAATACATTTACAATTATTCAGCACCAGACCTTTATAAAATCATATGTATTTGGTCGTTGATATTGAAGTTCATTTTTTGTTTTGTGATCAATTATTAAATAATTTTGTTCCAAGTAAGTGTTCGACGCTTCACCAAATTTGCTTGGCAAGGAGTGACTGAAAGTAGTGACGAAGCTGCCATTGGGGTCTTGAACCCCTTCTGCCATGTCATCCTCCTCAACCGCCATCTTGCTTGCATGTTCCGTTTCGGTATATTATGTTGCTTTCGCAGTCCAGGAATGAGATAGCTGTGCGTATCTTGACTATCACCGCGTTGGATGACTTGCGGTTGACAAATAGTCTCCTACTTCTTCAAGCCATGCAGGTAACCTCAAGCTTATCGGCATGCTTTATCTTTTCTTATTCTTCATTTTTATGTAGAAAATTTCCATTTATATTTGAATGTTTTGAATATATGTATACCATATGAATTATTGTTATTCGTTATGACTATTTCATCTTGCAGCCTCTGATATTTTTTGTTGCGTTGTAACAACCTCATGCTGTGAGGTCAGCAACCCTATTTTCAATTGTCTGCACAGCAACATTCTATCAAACAATTGTGAATTGCACTTTCCAGTTGCCACCAAATACTACTGTGAAATATGAATGTTCTTCGGTGATGAATGTGAAGGGGAGATGCTGTTCACAAGAAATTCATATAGCTGTGATTATGTGTTTAGAAACTGTTTTGTCCTAGTCTCTCTTGCCTATATGCAGGCTTGTTTATGTTATCAGGCTTTTTGAGAGAAGAGGCATGTCCACTATCTTAGCTGGGTAACCAGATTAGCAATCTTGTTATCACAAGAAATATACTGAGTTTGACATCAAATCAGATCACATCAAATTCTAATTTAAAGAGATTACAAAATACACATTTGAGTTTAATAAATGTCCTTCCTACGAACACATCTGCGCAAGTTAACATTTCCAGTTAAGCACGTAGTTTTCATAATATATAATTTGATTTAAAAAATGAAATTATGTAAAATCTAAGCCACAATAAATACGGTGTATGCAAAGTGACAAATGTATTTTGTGCATAAGCATTCCAATTAAAGCGCATTTTCTATAATATAATATTTGCAAACAAAATTTTGTTCTTTTCTCACTCTTTCTTTACTCTTTTCAGCTTGTAAACTCATTTTGCAAATGCAATAGTAAAACATAATTCAACATGTTTTATACCTTTTCTACACAAACATCTCGTGAAACAATATTGCTATCGGACGTCATGACATCCTATCTTTATTTGCCCTTCTACAAACAACTGAGATACGGCTGGGTGCTTCAAACTTTTGTACTGCTTGTTATAGATTCTTAGATCTCATTTTGCTTAAGCTGTGATGTGGCTAATATAGAACCAATTCTCCATGATTGCTTGTCTGCAGCCCATCACGCCACACCAGATTCAGCACGCCTTTTGCACCCTGACAAACTTTCTCTTTGTTCTCTCATTCTCCCTTTCCTTTCTCTTCTCCCGACTTTTCATGGGTATAGTCTGTTAAGGCATTACTTATTTGGGAGAGAAATTGTTTTGAATAGTTTACCTTTTAATGAACTTCTGTTGAAAAAGCTTCACTAAGGGTCAAGGTGTATCCCTCTGTTTAACTAGTGAAATATATTTCTTATGCAAATCAATGACTATTAAATATACATTGAACCTACGAATGTCCAAGAATAGCTTTGCTCTCCTTGAGCGAGAATGCTTTTTTGTAGGATTCAATTTGAACATTTGACCAATTACTTAATATTTAAATACAAAACTATTTAATGTATAATGATGCAAAGAAACTAAATTCATTCATCACTAACACTTGGCTCTTCACATGCGTGTACATGTTTAAAATACAATGAAATGGTGATGTGAATATTAAACAGTTTCTACCTTTAAAGCATCGTCAGAATATGTAGGTCAATGAGGAGACTTCCAGCTCCATTTAAATTTCTCAAATTATAAGTGTGTAACAAAACAATAGGAGTGTTTTGAACCATTTCGTCGTTTTTCAGTGCCCCCAACCTGGGTTGTGGAACCAAAAAGTGGATCTGCAAAACTAGGAGAACCTGCTTTACTTGACTGTCTAGTTGAAGGTTTTCCTCAGCCGTTAATAGTTTGGAAAAAGGCTTCAGGTGAGAAAATTTTAAAACGACTCTTTTCTCCAGTGTTAAAATCAGGTTTACTAATTTTTACATACAATTAAAATGTTGCAAATCGTCTTCTTGATGTCAACGAACAAGCATTTAATCACTATAGATCATTATAATTGTAGACCATTATAATAGTTTATAAGTATAAAGGACAGAGCTAAAATGTATTAATATATATTTTATTCACAAAGGCTTTCACTTCCAAAACGTCTTTATGTTACAATGTAACATGGCTGTCATTATAAACATAGCTATTTCCAAGAAGGAAATAGGGTATATTGCAATTTGGAATGTTTTGTCTGTGATCATATTATGTCTATATACGAAACAAAATATTGATAATAAAAGCATTCCTAAAATGTCTCAAATGTTTGCACGACTGTTGCGTAAGTATGGCAATATGCGAGTTCATTTCACTAGACTCAAAAGAATATCTGATCATATTATGCTCTTTGAACATTCGTGTTTTGCTGGAAGTAAGATTTCGTAATAAGATCTTCGGGGAGAGTTGGCCATTCTGTTTTAATAGTTGTATGTCTACTTCATTATCTTAGTTGACTCATTTATGTTTAAACGACTTAAAGAGCCAGGAGTTATTTCAATGTCGTTTTCGCAGGGGCGAAGCTGGAAACGTACCATCCCCTTGTTAGCCAGGAAACCTCGCAGCCCAATGAGTTTGGGCTGGGCATGCACCACTCAGGCATGAGCCTTCTACCTAACGGTTCCCTCTTTATCGAAAGTGTCTCTCAAGAAGACGAAGGGCAGTATGTGTGTGAAGCAAGCAACGATATCGGTGTCGGCCTCAGCGCAGTTGTCTACCTCACCGTTCGCGGTAATTTCATGTTATCTTCCTCACGCAGTGATTTCTCGGTTTTTGGACTGAATTAAATGAACTTATGTCTGAAATTGAACATTGTCCGATGGCAATAAAAATGTACACTACGTTGAAAATAAAAATAAAATAAACTATTTCAAGTTAATTGTGAACAATGGAACATTCATTACTATTCCATTAGCAACCTCACCAGTATGTCATAATCGTTTAAAAAAATTGGAAGTAATAAACATGAAAGAAAGAAAAAAATAGGAAGTAATAAACATGAAACATCTTCCCTTTCCCTTCTTCATATCACATCGCTTCACTTCACTTAATTTTACATTTCAAATATTTCTTTATAAATACAAACATATTTGCTGTAGACGTGCCTGTTATTTTTAAAATTATTAAGTTACATTTATATTTCTTTTCAACACCACTCCATACCAGACTTGTGAACCTACAAACTTTCGTATGCACAAATTTTATGCTAGTGGTTAGGCCTTTCTTTCTTACCTATTCAGGAGTATTATTTCAATCTACTCCTACAATGCCAAGATTTTCATTATTCCTTTTTGAATTCTTAACTTTAAAATGTTGGCTGTAGAGGATAGTGTAAAAGTGAGATCTACCCCAAAATAGTGACAAAAGTATGAAATTCAAATATTAAAAATCACATTTTTGATTTAATGTAAAACGTCCTTACGAAACGAAGTTCGATAAGTTTAATTTTATACTTTCAAATTATGAAATATTCTTCTAATAATTTTATGTTCTTGAGTAGTGTAATTTCCCCCTTTCTTTAATTTATTTCACTAGTTAATTAGTATTTTTGTTGGTTATTGCAAAGAAAATTATTATTTACATCTAATAGAGAAATAAAAAAATTATTCTCCCAGTTATACAATTTACTTAATTCAAAATGATAAATTTTGCACTCCTCCTTCACACCTATCTCACTAAAGCAATGAAAGATACTCCTGTAATTGGGATGTTTATTTTAAACTTTCTAGCTTTCAATATTTGTGTAATAATGGGAATGGATACAATAATGATTACCACTCTATAACAGAAAAATCGCATTTCCTACTTACAAAAATTAGGACATTGGTCTGTTATCACTACATAGGATGCTACTTTTTCTCGTGAATAAAATGTAATTTTTCTATCATTAATGACTAGCGATGAGTTGTCTTTTTATTGCCACGTCTCAAACTGTTTCAACAGCTCCAGTACACTTCAGAGTGCGCTCACGGAAGGAAATGGTGAGACGCGGTAGCACGGCCGTCTTACGTTGTCACGCATTGGGAGACGTTCCAATTACATTCACGTGGCGGAAAGAAGGAAGTTTTGTGGAATTTCAAGGACGCTCCAGGTGAGTTACAGTCTAAACCTAATAGATCGTTCTCTTTTAATGATCCCCTCCATTACTTGAGCATTCTGGTCAAGGAATTGAAATACAGCCACGGAAACGCCCTCTGGACCTAGAAAGAATATGCGTAAGAGATGGGTGGTTATAACTCCTCAGAAGTGTAAACTTTCGAACGCGCGCGCACGGGAATTCGATGAAGGAGCTTATACGCCTCTCCAGCTGCCACTTTCACTCCGATTATCGACAAACGAACTCCAGACCATTGCTTCGGACACATACGAGTACATCCCAAGCATACAGAATTAAAATCATTGTGCGCACCTGATCCGGTGAGTAGCTAGTTTATTGGTATCTCTCCCTCCCAGATCGCGGGTTCAATCCCGACTGAGGGGTGCATATTTTCATGAGGAGGGGAATGAAGAATGATTTTTCTCTCGTGAATAAAATGTTGTTTTTCTACCACTGACTATTAACGATCGGTAAAAGTCTTATGTTTACGGCATGTACGTAAAAGAACTTTGACTAAATTTCCAACAACATTAATTTCTTTGAAATATCCCGTCCTTATCCGATTCCATATTTGCTTAGCCGGTAACGTCTCACGTAATGGACAAATATTACTCATACCGTACTTGTGGCGTTTCCTGGCAGTAAACGCGGCAGTAAAACATTTACCAGCAACTCTGGAAGCCTATGGGTGCCAAATGCACTAATGACAACAAATACAATCCATATGGGAGGAAGACCAATGGATCCATCCATCAAATGCTATGTCCGGACAATACATACAAACAAACGACAACAACAAACAAATATAATCTTTGTCTTCTATATCACATTGTATTTCTGACAGTGTTGTAATGTAAGGGTGGAAAATAAGAATCTTGGCGAGAAAATAATGGTACAGTTGATAAAACAATTCTCACTAGTCTTGTACAGTGATTTCTCTCCAAAATATTAAATATTTTCCATTTTCCAACCCTATTTTGTGCCTAATTACGACTTCCTCTGAACATACTCCTGATTGTCTCATTCCCGTAGCCAATTCCTCTACCTCTTTTCCCCCTCCTTTCACGCCTCTATTACTGCTGGAACACGTTACTTTCTTGAACCAAGCACTCAAGGAAAATCGGAGCAAATATTTTATGACAACAACAGTCGGATTCAGCAGAAAGATTCATGCAAAATACTCTAGCAAAATATTCATACAACGCTCCACAAAATCCAATTTCTTTCAAACAGAACTGCGTTTAAAGCGGTTGCTTTACAAAACAATTACAAAACGATATAAGTCAAATAGATGTTTTCCGTTTTACAAAGTATTGGTTAACTCGTAAAGAACAAACCATTTTACAAATTCCTAACATTTACCTTGAAGGCTACTCTTGTAGAGAAAGGGAACCCAATAAGGGTCCCGCCGTATGGTAGTTAAGATAGGATTTCGATTATATGTCCTTGACGAAATTGAGTGTATATTAAATTGAAATTGTCTTTAAAATATGTCATAAATCCAATCGCACACGACATATGCGCAAACTTATCTTATTTTGTATTTAAGGCTTTTAATAAAACAAGCTTAGATCACTTCACGACTTTTAAAATCTAGAGATAACTGTTAACAAAGTTAATAATCATTCTTCTGAATTCTCTGTCGTATGCGACGATTTTAATATTGATTATCTGGCCGAAAAGAACATTTTCTCTCTGTAAGTCATTCCTACAGTTTATAGATGTTACAGTAAGCAAGCCTACACAGACTACACTTGAATGAAATAAGGCAATCGGTCAAATCATAATCAACAAAATCTCTTCTAGATAATGAAATCGCAACGAGATACTTAGAATATAGTGATTACAATGCACAATTATTCACCATTACAGGAAATTCGAGCTGAGACATTTAATGATATACGTAATTGTAGCTTATTTACTACACGTAAGAAAACATGGTGACGATTGTTAGCAACCAACGGGTGAGCTCTGCTTACCGTGAGCAATATCATACATTGACTTGAACCAAGGATTCCTAAATCTTTTTTTCCATGGACCTCTTTTAAATGAATGGTTTGCTTCAACTCCCTTACATATTTCTCTATAACATACAGCATACGAACGTAATTGTAACACAAATAATTTCACGTAAATTACTTAAAGATAACAATTCCGCTTCCAATGATTTTTTAAATATCTCAATTCCTATAATCGTAGCAGAAATCCGTTTTGATCCGTTAGTAGCCGAGTCTCTAATCTTCAATGTTGCTGTTTTTATTAAAAAGCCAATACATTTGTGTGCATTGTAGATAATATTTTCTTGTCGGATAGAGCAACATTGTGAATTTTGTTATAAATTGTTAAGTTTTTAAACAATCTAACAACAAACGATGAGTACAAAAGAAGAGGAGCGAATTTTTAATTTATTATTAGACTTTTGTAACAGTATTTCGTAATACAATTAATTTTCAAATTAATATTATTGTTTAATTAATGGGATCTTGATTGTATCGATCAGTTGTCGGTTCACTTTCGGTAACTGACCCACAGTCGACCCTCATCATTGAACCCCCTTTAATATTATCGACCTCATTGCCTGGTTTAAAGAAATTGTTACTGTGTCGACTTTTAAACTATTCATTCCTATCGGGAAAGGACTTGTAGTTTGTTTTGCAGTTTCTTCCTTCTCAGTAGCTCAGAGCCCTGTTTTCGTCTTTGCGTTTATGAACCATGAAACTTGGGTAAATAAATTGAGGAAGGCGGTGACCATTGTCAAACTAATGAAAACAAGACATCTGCAAAAGTTACTACAATAGTTTTTCAATAATTACTGCTCAGAAAAAAAAGATCTTCTTTCATAGCAATTAAAGTTCTCTTGCATCATGATTTCAGCCAGAAGAACATCAGTGGCGGACTGGAGTCGGAATTACGCATAAACGCTGTGAAAGCAGAAGATGGAGGAATTTACACTTGTTTCGCGCGGAATGAGTATGGTCATGACCAAACGGCCATTCATCTTCTAGTTCAGGGTAATATTTTTCTACCGACGGGAATCTACTTATATAAATTCACCAGTTTAGAGCAATAAAGTAAAGTACACAGCAGTCGTTCAATTCACTCACAGAAATATGATACAGCTTTATTGCCACTAGGAGCCCAAACTCAGTAAATGCACTCTAAATGTTCCTGGTTTATTCAGATGCTCCTGAGCATCCCACGAACCTAAGAGTTTTGGACCAGAGCAGTAGACGCGTTACCGTTGCTTGGACTCCCGCCCAAGATGGAAATAGTCCTATTACTCGATATGTGATTCGCTACAGCCCAATTCAAGGTAAATATATCGTAATTTTATTGCATATTATGTTTTCGTTATTTTATATAGTAGATGTTTTGTTACTGTATAATTGAGAGAAGCATTTCAAGAAATTCCTGAAATTTAATATGAATGTTAACAAGTATTAAATACTTAAAATTCAATGTGAATGTTAACAAGTACTAAATTCCTGAAATTCATTGTGAATGTTAACCAGTAGTTTGCTTTGGTAACTAGTTGTAAATACAATGAGCCAGGCAAGTGTCTCTGCAGTGTGACCATTCTGGTGAGAGTGCTAACAACAGAAATTGTTGGAATTACGAGAACCAGGCAGCGCTGGCACAGTCGGAAAGAGGAGTGCCGAAATAGCGGGGGAGGAGCGGGCGAGGTGACGGCACGCATGCGACACTAGCGCCACATACAGGCAGCAAAGCTGAGAGCAGAAGGAGGTGGCGACAGGCGCTGACCCGGATCGCTGCGGAGAGACTTTTCTGGCGCGTTATATGTGTAACGACACGGAATCGGAATACTGAATCTTTAAGAATATCACTCCTGCCAGATAAAACTAGTGGTGCTACTACAGCATATATTTTTTCGCGTTATTTATTGCCACGCATTATTGCACTATTGCATGAACCTGCAAAAGGATTTTAAACCACCGAAAGTTTTTTTCGGCATACGGCAGGCTAAAATCATGAAATATGACCAGGATATTTTGAACTCAAATAATAAAACAAAAGCAATGTGGAGTAGAGTAAAAAATTCGACCTTATCAACTAGAATCCTTGAAGAGAATGTTGTTTTAAAAAATAAAGATAGAAATGTGAACGATCTGATAACAGTGGCTAGTCTCTTTAACCAATACTTTTCGAGAATTGCTGACGATCTCACTATGGAGCCACAAAATACAGCATCAGACGTTTCCCCCAAAAATTTTAGGCACAATGTTTGTTTCCGAAACTTCTTCCTATGAAATTCTCAAAATGGTCGGTTGACTAGAAAGTAAATATTAGGTCGGTTTCGATGAATTCCGGATTGTTTATTAAAGGTTTGCATTCCCGCCAATATACACCCGTTAACTCATATATTTAATATATTCTTATGCACAGAAATTTTTCCAGATATTTTTAAGTCAATTAAGATTAAGCCGCTTTTTAAAAAGGCAACAAAAATTAAATTCAAAATTATCGGCCAATTTCTCTTTAGTCAGTTTTTTTCAAAAATATTAGAGAGACGTTTTTACGTACGAATGGAAATATTACTTAGTAAACACGGCGCGTTTTCAGATTGCCAACATGGGTTATCAAAATCTACGAATACAGCCATTATTTCTTTTTTAAAGGTGTCGCCTCATCCATGGATCAAAACGATGCACTTATTGGAATATTTCAGGATTATTCAAAAGCTTTTTACCTAATTGATCATAACATTTTACTCTCGAAATTGGTGTTGTTCGTATCTTAAACAACGATTTCAGAGAGTAGAAATACCTTACAAGAATAATGGAACATTATGTATGGAACACCTTCCAGATTCTTTGCCAATTCCTTGTGGAGTCCCGCAGGGATCGATTTTAGGCCCTATTATCTTCCTACAATACGTAAACGATATGCCCTGAACGATTAGAAATGGAAGAACAGTTTTCTTTGCATATGATACAAATATTCTTTGCAATAAAGAAACCGTAAATAGTACAATATCAGATATTTCAAATTGGTTTCGTAATAACAAATTAATAGTGAATGAAAAGAAAACTGTTTCAATGCCGTTTTCCATTTCAAATAAACAGCTCAACACTTCACTGAAAATGAACATACGAGGAGAAAATTGAAAGAAATAATTTAGAGCAGTTCTTGAGAAGAAATTATTCAAAAATTTAAATATTGGCAATATATTTATTTTACGCTAAATTACACGAAAACTATACAGATTTTCGGAAAATTGTACGGTTAAAGAAATAGGTATCCTTCTTCAAAATTGTAGTTGAAGGAATTTTCCGAATAAAAATTTCGACATTTGCAACTCCTAAAGACCCGAGTTCCTTGAGATCGATCAGGAAATGTTTTGAAGAACATCGGCTGAACGGTTTAGGCGCTAGCCTTGAATAGACAGACGGACGAGCAGACGGACGAATGGACAGGCGATAGCCTCGGACAAACAGACGGACAGGCAGACAGACTGACGGACAGACAGACGAACGGACAGACGGTCAGACTAACGGGCACACGGACGGACAGACGGACGGGCACACGGACGGACAGACTGATGGACAGATAAACCAATTGCTGCCAATCAATTTTTCGGTGTCACACAGAACATGGATTCTGACTACACAACTTGTTAGAGCTACTATATACATTTTACTACACACATATTTTACTACACACACATTTTACTACACTATTATTGCTTTTACTATCTACATCATTACATAGAGTTACTATATATACAATTTACTAAATACTTAAATATGATTTATCAACTTTTTCATTATGAGGCTCAGCAATAAGAGTTTTTATTTCAAAAATTCGCGGGTTTCCGGCTCACGATTACAGTACCTTCTCTTCTTATGATGTAAAGGTGATGAAGTAAAAATAAAATATGCGTTTTTAGAACTTCCATTCATAATTCAGCTATTTATCGTTGAAGATTGGGGAAGAAATTGTGGAGCTCAAGAAAACTTGCGCAGATTGTACTTCTTCCTCAAACATGATATGTTTAACTATTCTTAGAAACAATTAACCAAATATAGTAAATCAACGTCGCTACACGTTTACGCCTCGTGATTGATAATTTGTCTTTACTAGTACATCTCGGAGCCATGGAAATGGCACCTCTTGTAACCGTTCGCGTGTCCCGCCCCTCCGCAGACGCGAGGAGAATTCTAGCGACCTCTGAACGGTACTTTTACGTGGTTTCTCCGATCAACACCAGACGAATGCCAGAGCAGTACTCTAAAAACTGGGCCACGGACCGCTCGGAACGGACAGTCGGGGAAAGGATTTTCGGACGGACAAGGAGGAAGGATTTTCCTCCTTGTTGGTCTATACTCTCCTCTTAGTTACACGCTACACTTACACACTTACACTTACATGCTCTACACTACCACTCACGCCGGGAGACCAGTCGGAAGCTTAGAGCTTGTCCTGGCTGGGGCGGTGTCCCGTTGGTAAGAGATTCCTGGTTGAGGAAAACCCCGCCAGCCGGCGTGTTGGTCGGCGCCGGTTCTCACCATCCAGGGCAAAGACTGCGTCCCGCGATAACGAACATGCACTACACTTACTGGGCTAAATTACATTATCAGTTGGTGCGGCCGCAACCACTAATCCATCAAACCACCCGCAGACGCGTGGCAGGGCCCGAGCTTGGAGACGGTGGTGGAGGGCAGCCAGAGCAGCGCGGTCATCACCTCGCTGCACCCGGCCACCACGTACAGCGTGCACGTGCTGGCCGAGAACACTCTGGGGCCCGGGGCGTCCAGCCAGGAGATCCGCGTGCGCACCGAGGACGAGGCCCCCTCGGCGCCCCCGCAGCATCTGGCCGCCGACGCCACGGCCTCCACGCAGCTCGTGCTCTCCTGGGAGCCGCCCCCCGAGGACCAGTGGAACGGCCAGCTACTCGGCCACTACGTCGGCCACCGCCTCATCGGGTGAGCGGCGCAATAATATCATCAAGAATAAAAGTAGTATTAAGTGTGTATCTCTGTATGTTTGTGTGTGAGTGTCTATTTCATCATCATCATCATCATCATTTCACCCCCTCCCCCACGGCGTACAACCTTGTGAAAAAATGTAATCAGCATGCTGATCCCCCAATAGAAAAGTAACACGCGCCCAAAAAAACTCGACGCGGATATACCACGCTTTGAGCCCCGGTGGGTGCACGCTATCGGCGTGCCCCATATTGGCACATTCGTGGATAACAAAATAATAATAATAATAATAATAATAATAATAATAATAATAATAATAATAATAATAAATGTATAATTCTGTGTATTTGTTACTTTAGTGTCGAATTAATTCGGCTTTTGCCAGCTAGCGGTGTTCCCAGGCTTTGGCCCTGCTTTTATTTATCCCTTTACCACCTCCTCCTGGGGGCGAGGGGGCGCGTGATGAGCAAGATGTATTCTATCTCCGTCACGCATACTTGATCTGCTTTTATTTCAACTCACTTCTATAGAGACTGAGACTATTATAATAGAAAGCTACAGCTCTCTTTTTGCCCCGACCAGAAGTCGAACCCCTGTTCCACCATGGAGATTTAACACACTATGAGCCACCTGAGGGACGAAAATAATGTAATAATAATAATAATAATAATAATAATAATAATAATAATAATAATAATAATAATAATAATTTGTACCCACCACATGTCTCCCCCCCCCCCAAGCTTTGGAATTAACTAGGTCTCGGCATGGGAACACTTTTAGCTAGCCGGCAAAGACAGGCAATCTACCTGAAATGCCAATTACGTATTAAATAAAATGATTCGTACACGTAAATACTTGAAACTATTAAAATTCGCTATTGTGCAGAAGTGATGTTTTCCTCGCTCGACAGTTACACTGAAATCGTGAAGAAACATCGCACTCTCAGCTCCGAGGCAGACGTCTGTCGCGGCAGCCAGTTTGAATTTCGCGCCCAAAATTAACATTTAAAGACCATTTTCGTAGACTTTTTTTTTTTCTTCGTAAAAACTGTATATGCCATTCTTCGTGAGAATCAACATCATTGACAAACATAGAATCTGGGGTCTTTTTTAACAACAGGAGCTTCCGGACAACCTTCATACATAAAGGGCGTGTAATTTGTATAATAATATTGTTGATATTATATTTATGTTCATATTCTATTTGTATTGACTGGGCTTCTGTGATGAGTCGCGTCTACTGTGTGGTGGCTAACGTTTCGGCCAACATGTTGTGGCCTTCTTCAGAGCGTACTGCGGTACGTAGTACATTTAGTTTAAGCAGAAATACAGAATACATAAATATCCAGGAAAACAGTAGCAGCGCCCTTGTGATAAACAGAAGACGTAATTTGTAGAACATGCAGTAGAAAAAAATCAGTGCATTTTCGTTGTAGATTGTTTTTTTCGAATATTTAACTCTACCAAAAAATATCCTTACAGTTTTAAAACTTTAATTTGTGTTTGTTAGTTTTCATCGACTTGTCTGAAAACCGTCTGTGTATTTCAGAGATTCTGACAATAAAAGGCAGTACAATTTTTCTACTGTTCCTTTCCGAGGAACTGGAAAGGAAGATTCCCGCTTAGATGACTTGAAAAAGTTCTGTAAATATGGACTGGTGGTTCAAGCCTTCAACAGCAGAGGACCAGGACCTCTCTCCAAAGAAATTGTGGCGCAGACATTGGAAGATGGTAACTAACTCGTTTGTTTGTTTGTTGTATAATTTTCATTGAATGGCACCTTTTGTATAATGGTATTCGATCGAAATTCTACGAACTATTTTTTGAGAAAGAAAATTGTTGCCCCAAAGAAAGGCTAATTCTATCGTTCAAACGAAACATATCTTATTTAAAAAGCAGTAGTACCTACTGCCACAAAAAGAAACTACAAAATTAGTTAATTCCTAAGGAATAAACAGACTATATATACCAACTTAATACGTTTCTTTTTGCCGTATCACTGCGATGTTAATTGCTGGTTTATTTTCAGATACACTAATGTAGGTTGTGTTAACTGCAAGAAGAGAATTCGACAAGTGAAATATAAAACACTGCTTTCTAAGTTTACACCTAGAGGGGCGAAGAGAAACCGCCCGGGCCATAGCAGTGACTTGTGAATCAGCCCATCGCGAGCGACTGTAGGACACTCGAAGATACAATGCTTGACGATGAAACTCTCGAGCAAATACGAGTGAAAATCAAATGCCTTTCATCACTTTAGTGCCCACTTTATATTGCCCGGAGCCCTTGCGTGTTTGAGAAGGGCACTCAGAACCGCGGCTTCTTGTATTGTTCGGCGGGAGGCCTAGCTCACTACAGCAAAATGTTCCGAAATTAAAGATTCATTATTTTTTTAGAAGTAATTATACAACTAGAAGAAAACAGCTCATTAATATTTTGTGTGCTATCTAAATACAAAAATGTTTTAGAATGTATGCGAGAAAAGCGAATCACCCTGTAGATTACTTTAAAATTACGTTTTATCCACTCTTGAAATAAGAACTAAATGTACGGGCCCTATTAATCGCTAAAAGTTGCCAATATTTACTTAACCTAATCGTACCGCATGCTAGATGAGCCATTACGTTAACCCATTCCGGCCATGTGGTTTCCGTTTGAAACCATAGTTTTATTCTTATTTCCTAGTAGCCTACTGGTTTCGTGCTGTAACCCCACTCTTCAATCGTCAATAAGAGACACCTGGCGGCATAATTTCGATGTTCCGTTAGTGCGCGCTAATGTTATCAGTTATGTAGTATTTACAGGGTGATTTTCGCATGATGTGTTATAGTGAAGGAGTTTCTAGTCAGATTTCAAGAAGTTTTCTTATTATTCGAGTGCATTCTGTCTAAAGGTGATAGTCAGAACTTTTATTTAGAGTGTTTTCAAACGTAAACTGTACTCGTACACTATTTGTCTAATTTTTGAGTAAGGATTCGTGTTGGCTGGCAAGAACAATTTCAATGAGTTTGATTTTGAAGAACGTGAGAGGAAACGTATTTTGCAATACATTTATGACATTCCGTCAGATGCTGAATCTGAAACTTCAGAAATGAGCACACATTACTCACAGTATTTAATTGTTGTTGAAGTAAATAAAAATTAAAATAAAATAAATAAATGAACGATTTAAAAAAAAAACACCGATGAAGAGACAGAATATGAAATAGAAGTAGAACAGCAAAAAAGACGTTCAAGACCAATTTGAACTGCCTGGCAGCTGAAGAGTGTATCGAAATAAAACGGAAAAAAGAAATCATCTGATTTGAAAATCAATACCTTTTTGCAGTGGCACCTAACGTTCGAGGTTATAAGGATGAACCGATATAAATTGTTCAATGTTTTTTCCAGGGTGAGTTGCTGAACTGATCATACATCAAACAAACTTGTATGTTATTAAGAAATATAATAGTTTGTATGCAAGAAATGGTTATGAAAAGATAATGAAAAAGGTATTACATCGCAAATTTGCAAATTTGTTCGTCGATAGGGCGGATATGTTGAAATCTTTTTGCGAAATTGATCGTAAAAGTAAACCATGGTGGCATAGAATTTTCTGGCATATCCTATACATTATTCTTAAGGAGCTGAATGGAAATTTGAAAGATCTGAAAAGTTTTAGTTTATTCCTAATTGCAGGACTGACGGGCTGCAACAAAACCTTCTCTAACTAGGTCAAGGAACATAAAAGAGCTAACAGTTTCAAAGTGTATCTAGCATCCCAAAAGAGATATGACCAGGCCCCCTCATATGCCCCAAAAATGCACATCACGAAGATGCAGCACCGCCAAAAGCAAATTGCAGCTCCGACAAGGAAATGGTCGTGAGCAGTACGTAGAGGGATTATGCATGAATAAGTCAAAGTACGGCCAAGCTGAATTCTACAAAAAGTGACTACGGAGTGAACTAGTGGTTTCAAATTGAAACCATCTCCTATTTGTTGCCAAAAATATAATGATTTGAAAATTGCGTTTGCATTTCTTCTTTTTAGCCCTTTGTAAGTTGTTTTTGCACTAAAGCCAGTTATTTCAAAAATATTTTGTTTTTATGGGTCGGAAAGGGTTAAACTCATCTTGTGCAAATGTTAAGGCAGTCTAATCTGACATTTAGTGCAGTAGAAAATGACTACGCATACGTGCTGAGCGCGCAATCGTTTCTTTTCACGTCCTCAATGCCAGCCTTACGGTGATGTAAGGTGAAACATACGAAAGTAAAAATGCGCGCATGTAATAAAATATAGTTTAAGATGTACATCATGCACCAACACTGACAACATTTGTGAATATAGTTCCAGAAGCTTCTCCTCGAGACGTGCGGTGCACAGCACTGTCACCCGAATCCCTTCAAGTAAGCTGGCAACCTCCTCCAGATGCACTTGTTCATGGTGTTATCCAAGGATATCGCTTAGTTTATGAACCAGTGTCAACATCAGTTCACGATGGTTAGAATATTTTGCTTTCTTCGAAATAACTGTTAGAGATGACATTACTTTTGCAATTAACAATATAGATACCTATTATGCATGTGGTATGTTATGAAAATTTGTAAATATTTTAATAAGAACTCGCAAGATACCTGTATTTCATTTCTTATCAAATTCTCACAATGCCATTATTCTTCATTAGATTTTCATCTACCATTATGTAAATTTTTGTTGAGGTTTATCTGTCGCACTTTTTCAGAAATGATTGAATCAAGGACAAAAATGACAACTGCTCTTACAACTGTGTTACATAGTTTATTGAGATATACAAACTACAGTGTGGAACTTCTTGCTTTTACAAGAATAGGAGATGGTATAAAGTCCCCAAAAGTTTTTTGTCGCACAAAGGAAGATGGTAAGTATCTTTATTCTGATACTGATTCTCCTTATATAAATGTTTCTTGCTAATTTGTTTTAATTTAACTGTACATATCAAAGTTAACTTTTGTTCCAACAAAACGTGTCTGCCTGCTTAACTGAGGCTAGCCCAACCCCTGTGAAGTGTCCTAAACCCTACCCCTTTCCTAATTTTTTCCCAATTCTGGCCGCTGGGGGAAAGGGGTGTGCATGGTGAAAGAGGTGCATAAGCAAAGATGCTACCTGGTGATTCTCTTGACAACTGAAAGACAAGATGAGATGGGACATCAACAAATACAGTGTCCTCTTCCAGCATACTTCAAGTGAAAATTTGGGGAATAAGAATTCAAGGCTTGCCACTCGCTTCAAATGTTTAAAGGATAAAATATTGTTTTCTCATTATTTGTCAAGTATTTGATCAATTCAAAAAATTTGACATTTTCAAGTGGCTATTACTGGAATTGGAGTTTTAAAATAAAATAATAAAAGAATGAACAAATCAGAAATTGTCCAATTTTAGGCATGAGATCTATTCAGAATGAGATATAATAGTTGCATATTATGATTCACATAATGAATTTCGTAATGAAGCCAAAAATGTAAAGAAAACTATTGGAATTATGGGCTGTGCACATGTATAGAGAGTAACTTGCGTTATGACTTACAGCTATGGGATGTGCTGTTATGTACAAAACATTTGTAACACACAAAAGATCATATGTCTTTTGCAATGGTTGTACTCAGTAAGTACTCACAAGGAGAAAATAGAGCAGCAGCCGTCAAACGTCTGGCATGTTGATTGGTACCTGTTGAATGGGATTGTATTGCTCTGATAATAACTCCATCAAAAACGATGGATATGTTTTTAACTATGGCTACTAGTAATGCTTTTCAATGTTTTGTGATATGGATGTATATTTTTTCATGTTAAAATGTCTTATTTCAAAAAATTGATAAAGAATTCCAATTAACAATCTAAAGTCAACCACTGTAAATGTCAGTATTGAGGAAACCAAGTTTTAAAAGAAAATTGTTCAAAATAAAATTATTATTATTTATTTCGTTAGTTTTCAGACAGCAATACAAGTGAATATGCTTGAATCAGAATAAATTACATTATTCCAGTATTCTATTAGCAAGAGTTGTTTTATTCATACCACATATTTTCCTTTCATCTCACATATTTTGTGATTTCACATCAATATGCGCAATAATGTGCAAACTTTTTGAATATTTTATCACGTAAAAGTTCAAGACAGTATCAGACTGTAGTTTTCCATTTTTATTTCTTTTATTTCTATTGAATAGATCAATAATGTTGGAGCAAATGTGATTTCTGATACTATTTGCATTAAACATTTTAAAAAATCTTTCTTTACCTCCACAGTTGCAAATCTCTTCATTTAACTTGCAGTGGAACATTTCCATCAAATTTTATTTTTCACTCTTGCAATTTAAATCAGATTTTCAATTTCACATTTTTTAAATTTATTTTCTTCGGTTGACAAATTTTGTTGTCTTGTTATAAATAAATAATATTATATATCTATATAATATATATATATATAATATATATATATATNNATATATATATATATATATATCTATTAACCAAAAAAAATAATATTTTTAGTGGTTTCTAATTTTGGTATTTTGTTTTTCATTGCCATGTCTATTGCAGAAAATATTCTTAATAACAAATGATTATACTTCCAATATTTATGTTTGTTTGATTTTAGCCCCTGGTCCTCCTAGTAACATCAAAGCTGTTCTTATGATGCCTGACATTGCTTTAGTCGCATGGTTGCCGCCAGCTCACCCAAATGGTGTTGTTATTAAATATAATGTGTATGTTCGAGTTGTGGAAAATGATCGTCAAGTTGATACTCGATATTTTGCACATACTTCTACTTTACACCTACAGTATCAATTAACTGGTTTGAAGCGACAGTTGCGCTATGAATTCTGGGTAACTGCCTTTACCAAAGTTGGAGAAGGTAAAAGCACATCTGTGGCACGGATTTCTGCAGCTTCAAAAGGTAGTGTTCTCTATCTTTTTATCTTGATATCAGGGCCGGCATTTGGTATTAAGTCTAAGTGGGTAGTTGAACCGGGGGGTGGGCAGCCCTTCCTGCTCAATCCCCCATCAAAAAGTAATTGAAGGGGAAAATAAAAAACAGAAATTTTTCAAATTGTCATGTTTATCATTAAATTGTTATCACATTTGTTTTATGTAACTTCAGCACATTTTCATTTTTGCAATGCAAAAACTCGCTGTACTTTGCATATTTTGATATAAACTCATTTAACAATTTTTACAAATTGATTTTGTTGCTATAAACTATGATCATGTCACTATAAAATTGTAAAATCACAATAGTGTTGAGCCAATCTTGCAACATAGATGATCACATATACGTTTTGCATAGACACAATACTGAGAAAGTTTGTTCATTTCGGGAATTTGACATTTATGGAATATCTCTCTCACCTCAAAATTCGAGTATGTATTTTACCCTGTCAGACTTTTTCATGTGGGTTGATTTTTACCCACATTATCTGCTGGTTCTGCTTGATATAATACTAAAATTTACATAACCATCATTATTTAGATATCTTTCATTTTTTTTCTTCTTTCTAATATCTGCAAATACTTCACTCTGTAATGGAACAAACTTTCCCTTATCAGCATTCATTTTCCTCTTTAAAACCTAGTTTAAATATACCAACAATTTAATATTAATAGTTCATGAATAGTAATAATGGTTTGAATTAATTATTGATTTTAACACCCAACACAATTCACTAATTTTCCTTTTGACCCCTATCAACTATGTTATACAATTATAAGTTATATAATTATAAGTTAAGGGAGAAAAAGCTATTCTGTTTTCCCTTCATAAGAAATATTATTCAATTTTAGACTATATTTTGCTTCTTTAACACAATGATTGAATACTTTGACCACAACAGAAATTTTCAATTTTGTGTCTTTAATAGTACCTATAATGAAGTTACTCTTCAAGGTTCAAAATTAACATCTAAAAATTGTACAACTCAAAATATCTACCATAAATAATATTTAAGTGTGTTTTAAATAGCCTCTTCAGCTTCTGTCAGTGTTTTCATAGATATATTGGAAATCATTGCAATGTAATGCAAAGAACTCTCATTTCACTACTTTACGAGAAGCTGAGTAGTAATAATGAAGCATATTTGAAATGTTTACAACAACTCTTAATTTCAGTGAGTGCAGGAATCATATCTTTTGGTGGAATTCGAGTTGTGTCTTGGAAGAGTGACATTCGTCTTCCTTGTCAGTCAGTTGGCACACCAGAACCAACCCAGCAATGGAAGAAAGATAACGAGCCATTGCACATTTCACAGCAACCTCGTGCACATATAATTCCAGATGGAACATTGCTTCTCAGTAATGTGCAGAGGTCAGACCAGGGTGACTATAACTGCAGAGTGTCTAATGAACATGGGAGTGACCAAATAACATACCAACTAATTGTCCAAGGTAAATTAATTTTTGTAGAAACATATGTACTTCAAGCTCACACAAAAACAAAATGTCTTGGTATTTTGTTTTAAAGAGTAAATGTGCAGTGGAATACCAATTACTCAAATCTCAATTATCTGAAATACTTTTGGGAGAACAAGTGTGAATAGTTCTTACATAAATTAATTAGTGGTTTCTTTTTTATGTACATCTTACAATATTTTCAGTTCATATTTATTAAACTTAATTTTATGAATTTGTATTAACTTTTTTATGTCTGAGACTGTTTTACTTTATTTCTGAGCTTATGTTATCATCCAAATTTAAAATTGCTAAATTTTCATTTGGTACTTAAAAACTAAAAAACTCCATTGCTTTTTTTTCTAATTTAAACTGTTAACAATATTAACTTATTTGAAACAAGCATTGTTGAAACCCCTTTGAAGAATACATTATAGAGTCAATAATGAATACCATGAAATAATATACAAATTATTCCTCTTTCCATTGTCCCTTCTGTTGTTGCCTTAGGGTATGCCATTGTTCAAAATATTGAAGAGGAATTTGAAACATGACAGTGTTTTTAGTGCAATACTTCAGACATACTCACAAGACTTTCAGTTTTAATATCTCAGTATGCAATTTACAAAAGAATATTTCTTTGTCCTTCCTTTGGTGTCATCAAAATTTGATTTATTGATATTTCTGCGATAAAATAAGCAGGCAAAAATCCAAGGGAAAGAAATGAGGGAAATCCCCCCCCCCCTCCCAATTTTCAGTTAACTCATTAATTTTAACAGGAAACTTTCAAACAAAAATATTTTCAGATTATCATTAAAACAAAAAATATACATATTTGATGAAAACATTTTTAATTTCCCTTTCCAAAACTCATCTCTGGATCCACCCCTGATGTAAGGCATTATTTTATCTTTTACACATTAGTGAGATTTTGTTCACAATTTTTCTTAGGCAATAATCACTTTTCAATTTCTTTTTAATAGTACCACCTGGTGCTCCTGTGCTTCTAATGACTGGAAGTACACAGCACTCTCTACAGCTTCAATGGAAACTTGGAGACACTGGAGGAAGTAGAGTACAAGGATTTGTTCTCCACTACAAACATGAGCATGGAGAATGGGAAGAGTTTCAACTGGATGGTACTCACAGCACCCATATTTTAACAGGACTACGATGTGGTAGTCAATATCATGTGTTCATAACAGCATTTAATAGAGTTGGTAGTGGTGACCCAAGTACGACTCTTAATGTACGAACCCGAGGTGCTGTCCCATTGCGCCCTCAATCTTCAGAACTCCTCTTAGTCAATACAACTTTTGTTGGCTTAAATCTTCATACATGGCCTGATGGAGGTTGCCCATTGCTATATTTTGTGGTAGAATATGCTCCTGAAGGCAAGGAACACTGGGAAGTAGGTAAGTTTTCCTTAATAACAAGTACTAAATGATGTTATAAACATTTAACAATGCTTTTACAAAAAGAAAAATAGGAGTTAATGGTATCTTAAATAATATCTAGCTGACTATTGTATAACTATTATAAACTTGTATAATAGCCTATTATTATAAGTATTTATAATAAAAATAAGAGTGTATCACATGATTACAATTTTAGTAAGATCTTTATATAAACATAGTGCAATATTATAACTAAAAAGGTCCGAATCATACAAATTAAGGCCTATTACAGGGTCCTGTGCAAAATGGGGAGCCCCCACTTGATAAAGTTTAAAGAAAATATGAAAAAAGAATTTAAAAAATCTTATGGTGACATCAGGTAAATTTTCTGATATAATGCTCTTTCAATGCTTCGACAAAAACTTCTGCTTCATTGTTCAATGTTAAAAATGCATAGAATTTACTCTATTTTTCATTAAACAAACTAGAAATCCTACACATTCATAAACATTTTAGAATGATTTATGTTATACCATATTTGTTAAAAACTTTGGCTCTACATAATTTGGTTACAAAATTAACAAAAAATATATTTTCCAACTTCTCTCTCAACATTAACATTTACTTGGGTTAACTGAATTTTAGGGAATGGAACTACCTCTCTTTTGCAGTATATTGTATGTGCAATTTGTAATACAGTATCTATGTGCATATTTTTTTATCCATATATGAAATGAATAGGAAACTGAAAATATAATTTTAACCACTTGCTAAACTTAGCATTTAGAACATTAGATCTTTAAAGATAATGATCTTAACAAATTAAATTTATGAACTTATTATGTCACAGTGAGGCTTTTTATCTTCTTTGTTCAAAGCTGACAATTCATTTAAAAATTATTTCATTTTTTGCTGTGAATGATTCTGATTTTCATACAATATCATTCAACTCTGCAGTAATTATTGGAAGTGATCTTAAATACAAACTTTCAATACACAGATTATGTCAATTATGTTCTGCTCACTGTAGTTAGAAAATTGACTTAAACAGCTGTTTAGCTGTTGAAAAGCAGTGACCTTTACCTTGTGTCCTGAACTATAGGCTTACTCAATAGCACAATACTTAGATATATTAATTCTGTCTTTGTTCCTGTTTATAAATGTATTTTGGACTATGATTTTGAGCTTGTTCAAGTATGACTCAGTCAAGAAACATTTTCTAGGATATCTTTTACTTTGAATTCAGTTGAAGAAAGTGCACCATTCTGATTGAGTATATACCACAACTGTGGTAGAATATTGAACTGCAATTATCACACAAAATAGCCTCAGCTCCAGGAGCCATATCAATTTTGTGCATACAAGCTACATGGATTGCTAGATCCATATTCATTTTACATAAGTCATTTGGTGCCTATTTTTGAATAAGTAACACATGTAGAAAACAAATTTTATAGAAAGTTTAAAAGTGGTGTCACCTACTTTTTACATGGGACCCTTCAATTGCAATGAAGAATGGTTTTATCAAGTTAAAATAAATTTTCAGTGGGAAATAACATTGGTACAGATAGAGTTTTCTCTTTGCTGGGATTAAATCCAGGACGTACTTACAAACTCCGTATCACAGCTCATAATTCTGCAGGATCAACAGTTGCCAAATATAAATTCAAAACTCTAAGTGAAGTGGGTGGTAAGTATAGAACAATCTAAATCTGTATTTTGAATAATTTACTAGACTTATATTTTACAAGAAATATTTTCTTCAGGAACTGTGAGTCCCAGTCATGTAGTGACACAAAATGACCAACAACCACCTTTACACACTGATGTGAAAATAGTTGTTCTTGCAGTTTTTTCATTGATAGCTCTTGTACTCAGTTTGTTGGGTATCTGTTTATGTCTGAAGAAAAGTGAGTATTTCAATTTTCTTCTTTATTGTATAATACAATATTAATTTATCTTTGAATTTGAATTACCACACTCTCAGCATACCTCATTTAAAGGATGTTAATAGCGAGAATTTAATTTCTTGTAATGAATTGGCAGGAACTTGCATGAGTCCTTCACCACATCCAAGTTTACAAGATGTACAATCCAGTGCAACACAAGATAATAAACATAATTTAGCACGTAGAGAACAGTATTATGCCACGGTTCGAAAGCTTCCTCAGTCTCCAGCAACATTAGAATGTATACCAGGTCAGCATTTTTGCTTTGAAGAATATTATTATTATATGTACATAGAATAGTGTTATCTTTATCATTTGTGCATAAAATCTAGTATTATGTAAAATGTTTATTTGCCTAGCTGATTTCATTTACCAGTAAATTATCTAATACATTTATGAAATCTGTTTAAAATATGATTTCTTGCAGAATACTCTGAAGATATACGTCCATATGCAACCTTTCACGTGCCTGGTCCTCCCAATTCAGATACAACAAAATTGCAAACGTTTGTATACAGAGAAACAGATATGTCTCCTACAAGAAAGGTAATACATTCTTTACTTATCTTGTTACTCCATGAGGGATGATGTTTAATTTTCATATTTAAATATCATTCTGTTAAAATATATCTTCATTCATCTGTTTTGTGCATGTTAAAATTGAAAATTAAGTTCCTGGAAGTCAATAGCTGACAATTTTAAATTAAGTATTTATTCATGGTTTCATCACATCATTTCAAAAAAATTGAGGGCATATGGTTAACACAAAACTCCTTATTTTAATCTCTTATCTTTAAAAACAATTAATTAAAAAATAAGTGAAAATTTAGATAGGGTAGAAATATATAGTATTTAAGGTAAGAAGAGCTCCTTAATAATTCACACATATTATATATTATACATGCATATTACGTATAATGACAAGGTACATTAAAACATTTCATTTTTTAAATACAAAAATAATTCTGCTCCTCTCTCAATGAATTATTAAACATATTCAAATGGAAGTACTTATATTGAGAGTGCTGTAACACATAAGAAAATATTACTTCTGTTTGAATAACTAAAATTTATTATTTTTGCAACAGCCTATGAAAAGCGATTACCGTCGAGTCAAAAGATCTCGCCCAAGTGAAGAATATGACAGTTTTGGGTCAGAATCTGACACTGAACCTGGCACTTCAAGTAGAACGGAATCTTCCAATCAGCTTGATGATGGTGGAATACCTGGCGATGGTGTCCGAGGCTATCATCATTCTGCATCACGTTTATCCAAAATTGGTTTGGAATCAATGTATCCTGGACCAGAATGGAGTCCACCAACTGAAATTTCTCCAGGTGCTGAAAGAACACCTTTTGTGCGCAGATACTGTCAAGCTCATATTCTGAAATAAAACAGATATATGGCCTTTGAACTATCACCCGTCCTTCCTTTAAATGCTCTGTGACTGTGAAATCAACTATTGTGTGTGAGAACATAATTTCTACTTTCATACATCATAAAACATGAGGAAAATAAAATTTAGGAAAATTTACATCATTGCAGAAGAGCTGTGAAAATGAAGTTAATTTTTTTGTCAGTCTATAAATATTTAATTTTATTGTTATCACCATTTCAAAGATTTTGATCTTTTAAAAAATAGATCTTGTAAGCATGCAACTGTTTGAACAAAGATGAAAAGCTATTTGAAATATTTTGTCATGTTGCATACTGTTAGCGATTGTTATTATATATTGAGCAGATTCTACAGTTTATCAGTGGCAAAAGAGTACTTCCAGTTTGAAGAACATTATCTTGTGTAATATGTAATAATCTTTTATTTTTATAAAGTGATTTTTTCTGTGATGTTCATTTTAATTCAACTAAATAAAATATTTAATTATAACTTGCCATTAAAATGACATTGATACCAGTTTAGAGTAAGTACTCATTAATTACAGTACCAAAGTAAATAACATATTTTTTCAGACAGAGCAGATTCAGGAATGAGCTGGTCATATGTGTGATATATTTCTTCATTGTCCTGGCAGAATGTCATTTGAGGAAGATTTTCATACATTACTTACGAACATTGTACAAAGAGCTCAACTGATTGCTTCATGAAATATTTGTCAGTGTTTTCCATTTCTAATGAGATAGTACATGGAATCTCTAAACACAATACTTCAGTAATGTGCTTCCAGGCATAAGTTTCAATAACTTGAGTTAGGTCTGATTACAAAAAAGCAACAGTAAACAAATGTAACTGGTGTAGTAACAATGCAAGTGATAAACTCATCATTCTGAAATGTTTCTGAGTGGAGGGAGTAATGGATGAACAACCCTTCCTTTTCATACTCTTACAGAGCACAGTGCCAGTCTGCAAAATGCCATATACCCTTCTAATTACAATGATTGCTTTCTACACTAGAAAGCAGTTCAGTGTTTTGCACCACAAACATAAACTCTTACTAAAATTCTTTTAACCATCATATACCTCTATGTTAAAATGTTGTTTCAATGATAATGTGCTATAATTTTACCTCCCAATTTTCTGTTAATCTCTAATTGTTCAAGTTGCAGAAAATTTTCTGCTCGTATTTACTATGTGCAAGAATGTTTTATTCCAGAAATGTTTGAAGTAAAATATATAATGATATGTTGCATGTATATTTATGGAAATGAATATAAATATATTTTAACTGTATTTGTGTAAAAAAATCTTCCATAAATTTTACATGACAAATGTTTGACTTTTTTTAAGCATCTATTAATGTCACAGCAAACCTTCATTGTCAACTTATGTGTAAAATTAATTGTTTTTTTATAGCCAAATTACTTTTAGTTTTCCTCGTATTATTTAAATATTATAGTCTTCCCAAGAATAGTTGCCATTAATTTTCAAGGAAATTTTACACCTATGGAAAGCAGACAGAAGGTTTCTTGTGTAATTACTTATAAGAAATTGGGATGGATAGAATGATTTATTTGAATTAGTACACCTATTTCAGATTTAGAGATATGCAAGGTGAGATTCATAAGACACATTATAAGCAAAACGCCAAATGGCAGCATCTTCAATACATCCAAACTTCTAAATATTGACACCAGAAAAGACAGAATTTATAATATTTTTTATGAAACAACCATATTATATCTTATCTTATTATGGTCATTATCGAATTAGTGCTACAAAATACACCAAATTTCAGTAATTGCCTTTCTGTATCAGAAAAAAAAGTCTCAATTTTGTTGTGCAGGGTAGTTAAAATCACAGACTAAATGATCATTACTTCTTTTGCAATACAATTGACATCGATTTTTGTACCGATTTACCACAGAGCGTCATATTTATTAAATCCAGAAAGCACATATGAAACAAACATTCCTGCACAAAGACATTGCTCAATTGTTAATTCGCTTCCGGATCAATTGCAATGATCGCAGATTAAGAAAAGGCAATAATGCAAATCGGGATACAAGAAAAAGATCGTGAAGATATTCAGTAGCCAAGTATTTTTGAATAGTCAGTGCAAGATGTGTCGAATATCCGGGTCTATCTTACTGAAGCTCCTAGGAGATTGGGGATATTGTTCTTATGATGTTCTCTTTTAAAGAGTCAAACAAAGCTCATTTTTTGGTACTACTTCTCAACATTCGTATCAATAAATCTTCTGAACATGGCCTATATTGAGACTGAAATTGCTATAAAATGCTTTGGTTCATTTTTCCTGTGACCACAGAGATATGATGGAGTTTAAGTATTAAAATTCATTGCATTTCGATCAATATGATAAGAAATATTCTGATTGTTTGTTAGCTTTAGCTGGTTTTGAAAAGACACTTAATTTACAAAATCCAGAAGAAATCCAAACATTTTTACTAAGAAGAAACTAAATTATCTTCTCTTCTAAACAACAATAATGACAAAAGGGGAATTTCACATATTATATCCCGACCTGGTAGAAGATGAAAATTTTTTCCAGTCTTTAGGATGTCTCAATAATAATATATATGTTCGTAAGTTTCTGAATAAAGTAATGCTTTTTTAAGCAGCTAGAGGAGGGACTTTTTCTTACAGGTAAGTTTAACGTTAACCTACTTGCACTTCGGCATTACTAACTTACACTAAGATCAGTTTTGTTAATTACTACAGAAATTGTTCTTATTTTAAAGGTGAGATATTTTTTCTCTACATTTACACATCATTCATACTTGTTTCCATTCATTCGCACTTCACTACACTACACTACACACTGTTCACCACGGCACTGACTTGGTTCGAAGTGTTCGTGGCGCTTGGGCCCGGCAGGTGGGGCACGCAAGCGTGGCAGGTAAGGCGCGGTGTCGCGTTCCCCGCGCGCCCCTCGGCCGATGGCGAGTCTGCCCCCTCGCGCTCGGCTGCCCGCTCGCTCGCACAAGGCATCAAGCACAAGGCATCAAGCGTGTCGTCCTACCTTCGGACCTTTCCGTAGGTGGGACCGATGCGCGTCGCTGTTCGCTTCTTGGTCGGTCACGCGCAGGATGCGCGGTGCCTTCGGACCCAACGCTCTTGTAAGCGCCGTTGTTGATCGCCTTTGGAGCTCCAGCAAGATTTTTTTTTTTTTTT